GGACTCTCAACCACTGCGCCACCAGGGAAACCCAATTCACTATCTTTTTATGATGTTTTTCTACTTTAAACCATCAGCCAGAAAGACTGTTATACTTCCTTGTCATTCTGCAAGTCCCTTCAGTAAATTTTCAATAGCAAATATATCTTTTTGTCTTATAATCAGAAAATCGAAGCTTATGTCTTGAGCTTGTAACAGAAGCAAGAATTATATAGTTTATTATAAATAACAATATTTAACAATATCTTATATAATATATTATGGCATAATATTTATTAAATAGTACATTATATATTTATATATAATATAAAATATTGTAACATACAATATTTAATAATGTGTTTAGTATAAATATATGATAACATACTAATATATGATATTTATTATATATTTATAATATAATAGTAATATTATGGGTAATATGAAGCATATGCATTTATAATATATAATATTGTATTATATTTGTGTTAATTAATGTTCTTGTATGCTCTCTTTGACAGGGTTTATTTTTTTGAAACTAGGTCTGAAACAACGAAGGAAACAGACTCTATTTCCTGAGAAAGGTGAAGATTTCAGAGAGAATATATTCAGATATGATGATGAAGGTGGTGGAGAGGAGGATACAGAGGCATTTGACATAGTGGAGCTGCAGGGTGGCACGGTCATGCGGGAACGCAAGACTCGGAGAGCCACCAGGGTAGAGATTCAGAGCCTGTACAGGCAGTCTTTGCAGGTTGGCCCAGATAGTGCCATATTCAGGAAATTCATTCTAGAAAAGCTCGAAGAGGCTAACACTGATCCCTGTGCCCCTCCTTTTGACTCCTTCCAGACCTATGCTTTTGAGGGGACAGGGTCCTTAGCTGGATCCCTGAGCTCTTTAGGGTCAGCAGTCTTTGATCAGGATGAAAACTATGATTACCTTAATGAATTGGGACCTCGCTTTAAAAGATTAGCATGCATGTTTGGTTCGACTATGCAGTCAAATAATTAGGGCTTTTTTATTAATAAATTTTTTAAAAATGCTAATGTGTATTTGGGCAAACTGGTAGTCTCTTGGTAAAGAGTTGTATACTCCGGTTCTCGGGAAAAAGGAAAAGACCCAATTTATAATGTTTTCTGATATTCTTGGGGTAAGTATCCCATGGTTATTTCAAGCTACCCATCCATTGTCACTGACTGCAGGTATGGGGAAGTGAAGCTAGCAGTCAGCTCTCGGGTGCCCCTGAAATACTCCTCTGACATTTTTTCAATACCATCCAATACAAATTCTCAAAATTTTTGCAAGTTTAATGTGAAGGGCCCTGAACTAGATTATCTTAATATTATTTCATTTATCCATTTTTAAAATCTTATGAAGAGTGAAAAGTTTATGTGTGTTAAGCTCCTGATACTCTACGGAGATAAACACCTAGGAGAATCTCGGTGGTTATATACATCTTTTAAAAACTGTTTCTTTTCTCTCAATAAGCAAGCTTCTGACTGAGAGTCTATGATTCATTCTAGTTTGATATTTTAAAAATGTCATCAAGACCACATTTTAAAACTGATTTCAAATTTAGACAGATGCTTGGTATCTGTTAATTACTCAAAGATATAGTGTAAATTTGTATTCTCTTTGATATTACAGCTTTATATAAAAAAAGGGACATAGACTTTGTTTAGGAGGTTTTCATATGTTACTTTCTTATGTATCCAAAATACATCTTTATCATGTCACAATACTATGATAAAACACATATCAACATTTACTCAACATTAAATTTGAACTTTAAGAAAATGGTAGAAAGTGTGAAATTTTTTTAATTTTAGTTTTTGATTTCTAATTTTATTGCTACTAAAAGTAATATAAATGAAAGGAGTACTGGATTCAAACTGGAGTTAATATTCATCCTAAATGTTACAATCAGCTGCCCTGCTCTTACCATGCATAAAATAAAACATGATAAAATTCTCAGCATTTCCTTTTTTATTAAGAGATTAGACTATAACTGATTCTTCTGTGTCATTTTTTTATTATGGAATATAAAATTAGGTACAATAGTTACTTTTATGGTAACATTATGAAGGAAGTATACTAAGCTGCTGGACATAAATCTTTAAGGTAACATCAGATAGTAAGATAATAAAACACTTTAACTTTAATCAGCCTTATAAGAATGATTCTCAATTATTCTATCCAAATCAAAGTGGAATTCAAAATTCACAGGTTGAACAGAAAGAAAGTAGTGAATACCGTGTCCTCAAAATAGCTTTATGTGTTCATTTTTTATTAATAGCATGTGAAACTGAGCTGAACCAAATTGACCATATATGTTCTAATCAAGTATTTCAAATAATTTTGAGCTAAAGTTGGAGTAGTTCAATAGCTACAATATTTTTTTCTCTGTACTTTAAGACAATACCATCCATACCATGTAATAGAAGAGAATTTTTTCATCAGTATCAATCAGGTACCATTATGTCAGCAACACAGATATCACCATTTTACAAAAGCCTGAGAAAATCAGACTTGAAATACAATTTAGGAAGATATTAAATGTAGTAGAGAGGACATAAGCTGTAGTAAATCCTTGTATATTCATATCATTATTTACTTAGGGAAAAGTAAGAACAGTAAACAAAAGAAAATTCAAAAATAAAGTAAAAACTTGCAAGTAAAAAAATGTATGGGTTGAGAGAACATTTATATTCCTATCATATGGACATAAAAATTGCAAGAGTATAGTTAGGGAAATTTTCATGAATTATTCCATGAATGGCTATACCCTGTATTTAGAAAATAGTGCTATATAATCTTGGTTGAAGAACTGAAATGTATGATAAACAGCAGATGAAGCAATCCATGGAAAATAGATTAGAAAAAAAGAAATAGGCTCTTCTGAGGCTTGCAGTTAGTTCAGTCATGAATGAAAGCCTTATAAACAACTTATCAACTTGGATGAACACCTTATAAAAATGCAGTATCTGCATCACTAAGTTTAGTGTTTGAGTCCAGTGGCACTAAGCAGATGTGTTAAAATAAATTCTGGTTTAGTTAATGATAGGATTGTCAATCATAGGGTACATAGGAAAAGAGATTCAGGGCTGGATACCTACTTGCTAGTCTAGAAAGTGTCCTTTTAAACTATATCAAGAAAATGCTATCTGATTCTAGTAGAGAAGTTGCAATTTTATAGAAGTTATACTTGGTAATATTTCAATAACTATTTTAACCTTTTTTTCTAGTCACACAGCTGTTGCAAGAACACAGCTGTATCCTAAGCTAAAGACATGACATTAAGGTCTCATTTTTGTAAATTTTAATAAAGGTAAATCAATGCGAGGATATTTATGAAATAACACAGCTTCGCATTAATACCTGCACTACTTAAACAGCACCCTTCATTAACTTACAGGTTTATGTGTAAGTCTTAAATTACTAGTGGTTGAAACAGGAAAATATTGAAATCCTTTATAGGGATCAGAAAATGTTAGCAATAATAGTTGTTCACTAAGCACATAGCTTGAGCCTATCAGATCTGAGTTTGAATTAGTTCACTTTTATTTAAATAATTGTGTGAACTTTATCGAACTGTCTAATCTTTCCATATCTGAGGTTGTGATGGGTAAAACGAGGTCCAATCTACCTATTTCACACGGTTGTTGTGAAGAATAAGTAAAACAGGAAGCACACGTAGCACCAGACAAAACGCAAGAGTTCAATAAATAACAGCCCAGCATCTTAACAGCTGACATTATTCTGCTGGAATGCACTGATCCCTTTCTTTTCTAGCACTGAGTGATCCCAAGGGCTTCACAGCGCATTTGAAATATAAATCAGTTTTCTGACCTGACATACAAGGTCATATATTATCCTGTGTCTGCTTATCTCTGTGTGCTCTGACCTCTTCTAATGCCATGCTCTAGGCCTGAAGCAATCTTCCTCCAGACATTTCTATTTTTCATTCCCTCACTTCATTCAAGTCCGTGATCAATTGCAACTTCCTCAGAAAGGCCTACCGGACCACTCTCTCCCACTGTGTCCCTTGCTCTGCCTTTCTTTGCATCAAATCACTCAGCTACCTTGTAGCAAGTACATTATATATATGTTACTTGTTATTGCCTTTATCCTTTATTAGAATGTAAACCCTAATTGGGCAAGGGGTTGTCGAACTTTTTCATTTGTTCTTGTCTAAAATTGTTTCTAGCACATGGTATGTGACCAATAAATATTTCTTAAATGAATGTAATAGTGAATCCCAATCTATTTTACTTGGTCCTGTATAGAAGCCATATTGACACTGTTGAATATTAATGTGAAATTAATGTATTTTTCTAACCAGGTTAGCACTGGGTAGTTCTGGGTTACAATACGATTTTTCAAAATCTTTCTAGAAATTATATGAATTTGGTATTTTAACTTGTTTGTACTTATTGATATCGTTTCCTGCTGTGGGGAAAGGTAATAATGTTATACTGTTTAGTCAAAACACATCCTTTGATGATTGCTGTAGAAGTTCTCGTATGAATAAGTTCCCATGAAGTGTGATGAATAGGAAAACATTTGCGATGCATGAGAATTCTATGCTTCACGTTTTAGAATACAATTTGGTAACAAATGCATTGTTAAGCTCACAGCGCTACACAAAACCTACAAGGTAGCTTCATGTTCTTTTATATGATATAAATAGGCATTAGATATCAAGTACATTAAAAGCTGGAAATAAATGTAGAAAAGGATTATGTGGCTTTTACGTATCCAATTACATCTGTCTTATATATCTATGTACCCCTCCAACCATCCTCCCATCCACATATCTATCTATCAACTATCTCCTTTCTACTGTCTATCCCCTCTTCCAGGAAACTATAATTTCACAATTACATTAGAGACTAGCATCTCAGTCACATATTAGATCCTTGAGACATGTTAGTATTTCTTGCTGTCTTTTTTTCCTAGAGAGCCCTAAGGATGGGAAGCTGCCTGATATGAAATGGCAGGGAAACAGAGAGGGCTAAAACTGGGCAAAATGCATTTCTTAGCCTTTGGCAAGGCAAAACTGCATGAATTTCCCATAGGTTAAGTGGTTCCAGGTGTAGAAATTTTGCACAGAATGTAGAAGCTGAAAGGGAGCTTAAATCAGTCATCCAAAGACTGTGTCACACAGGCTAAGGAAAAACAGGGACCTCTGGTCCTTAAAATGTCTCCAAATACCCAATGCATGAGCTCCAGAATAGAGTGCCAGCAGTCAGATGCCTGTCATCACACAGGACTTTGGCTGTGAAATTATGACAGAGCCAGCCTTGATTATATGCCCTTTATCTCTCATCTCTTCATCCCCACCCAGAAACCAGAGGTCCAGATGCAGCAGAGTTAAGTGGAACAGGGAGAGAGACAACCACCTTGGCCAAAATGGGCATAAGAAAGATCAAGGCAAGTGTTTCTTAAAAACTGAATAAAATGAAACATTTTCATGATGTTTCTTTCAAGTTACAAACTAATCGATAAAGTGGATACATTAACATATCAAATCAATTTGGCATTTCATATAGTTTGAATAATTTAAATTTCACCTTGCTAGTAGAAAACATTAGCAAAATACAAAAAAAGTAATTATAATTTATAGTGTTCTTAGGACATTTGAAAGCCTGTTAAAATAGTTTATACAACTTTATTTCCTGCTATTTCTTTGTGCTTATTCATTTTAATAGTTAAAATGTGATATGTTCTTTTGGCTTCTGCAGTGCTAAGTGGTTTATCTCAGCTAGAAATAAGGCTGGACATGGAAATGATGATATATTCATGATTACATAGAGGTACAAATCTATAGAATATTTTGTCCTAGGAAAGGGAATAGAGATGATATATGGGATTCATCTGTACAATAGGGATATTAAGGATATATAACTCATACCATTGGAGGAATTAACTGAAATAATACATATAAATAATTAACTGGGCTTAATGTATAGCAAACATGACATTTTTACCTGTTGTGATTCTTAAAATAA